GGTCGTGTGTGGTGGTGGACCGGTGAGCGTTTTTACAGAGGGCGCTAATCAGAGAAGCGTTCAATTCTAAGTTCCTTGGTGATGACAGTAATTTTTTTCTGCGATTTTACAGATTGAACCATTTTCTATAAGCAGAAGACCGAAGATCCAGAAACGATAACCTCAACATTTTTGATCGATTATGCTGGGAATAAAATAGATATAAATAGATTATAAAAATATTCAAATTAGATATAGAAAAATGGTTCGAGTGGGAACCCACGACCTCCAGTTACCTAGCCAGATGAAAACCTCTACAAGGAAATATCATAGGAGTGATTATTTGCTATCGTACCGAATTAGTTTTAATATTTTCTAATACTAACTTTATTGACAGTTCGCAAAATTGGTCTATACTATTTTTTAAAGAAGCGTTTGTTATACGTAGGTTACACTCATTGCTTAACAATGGGCTGAAAGCTTCAAATGAGCTTTCTTTGTTTTTATAGGTAGGCTAATAAGTAGGGTAAGGATGCTTTGATCTTTAGTTTATTCATAGCTATGTCACCTACTAGGGGTAATCTTTTGTTTGGTCGAACACTTTTGGTACTTGTGCATATAAGCTTGCAAATATGGATAATTTTTCATTCCTGATGATGACATAATTAATATCGAAATATTGAATCGTGACGTTGTTATGTGGGTATTTTATAGATTATTGAGAATAGTTAAATATCACCGAAAAAATAGATAAAATATGACTTTTGAATGACCAACAAAGACAACAACTGAAGACAATAGTTCGTCATTCGAAAAATTAATCTCAAAATCGAGTTGCCGTCCCCGGCGTTGTCAGTGACGTCGTATGATTTGTGTGCGATTTTTACCAATTAACCCCTAAGTAATAAATAGTTGAGCCATGTAGTACATTGCAAATCAACCCAGAAACCCGGTAGTTTGTTGAATGTTTATTGGTAGCGTCCCTTCTCTGCCAAAAATATTTTTTTGGCAGTTGCGTCCCCTTTGACATCGTGAGGGCATGATGAAGGCTGGTTACGATTTGGTGGCACATCGATTGAGTTTTCATTCATCTCGCCATGTAAGTCAGTGGAGTATCTAGATGTCTTGAAATGAGGGGTGAGGGGTGCATGCTGATAGGGCGCGAAGGTGAAGTGGGGTGGGGGGTCGATGATCAGTTGAGGGGCACTAATTCGCAAAATAAAGTGACTTTAGGTGATTTTTAACTACTTGATTTAAAACAAGTGTCAGTATAATCTTAGGCCCAGCATGTGGTTAACATAAGCAAGATATAGTGTCCAATGAAACTGTTTATCATCTTGATACCTTCCGACGAAAATTGACCCTACCGGCGTCACCACGGCGTCCCCACCGATCGATCTAACGTAACGTTGATATGTAGGTGTTTTACAGATTATTGAGAATGGTAATATCACCGAAAAAATAGATAAAATGACAGTTGAATGACCAACAAAGACAATTGAAGACAATAGTTCGTCATTAGAAGTTATTTAGTATAACTTTATTCGGAAAATTAATCTCAAAATCGAGTTGCCGCCCCAGGCGTTGTCAGTGAGGTCGTATGATTTGTGTGCAATTTTTACCAATTAACCCCAAAGTAAAAAATAGTTGAGCCATGTAGTACATTGCAAATCAACCCAGAAACCCGGTAGTTTGTTGATTGTTTATTGGTAGCGTCCCTTCTCTGCCAAAAATAGTTTTTGGCAGTTGTGTCCCCGGTGACATCGTGAAGGCATGGTGAAGGCTGGTTACGATTTGGTGGCACATCGATTGAGTATTTTCATTCATCTCGCCATGTAAATCAGTGGCGTATCTAGATGTCTTGAAATGGGAGGCTGATGGGAGGGGGGTGCGCGAAGGTGAAGTGGGTGGGGGTGGGGCTCAATGATCAGTTGTGGGGCGCTAATTCGCAAAAGAAGGTGATTTTAGGTGATTTTTAACTACTTGACCGTGATTTGAAACCAGTGTCAGTATAATCTTAGGTAAGCATATGGTTAACATAGGCCTAAGCAAGAATTGAGTCCAATAAAACTGTTTATCAGTGGACCTTTCGGTTTAAGGCTAGATGAACTGAGGAAGTTAACCTTTTTGTTTTACTTCATTTTAATCACAAGTTTATCAGATAGGCCTAGGCCATCATTGTAGGCCTGTATTTCATATCAAAACCTACATTCCATTCTAATATTTTATAATCAATGAATTAATCATTCATTATCAATGTAGCTGTGTCGCAATTAGGCCGCAGCCTTGGAATTAAATTTTTAACTCATGAGTTTTGTTTTTGCTCATAGCAGAATAATTAGGCAAACAAATATATATACTTGTTTAGCGTCACCACCCCTACCTGAATTTTTCAAATAAATAAAATGAATATAGTCCAGGAAATTCTAATCAAAATAAGTATAGACCTATTTTAAGTGGATTAAAACAATGATTTCACCAACTAGGTGTAATATTTATTGTAGGCCTATTGAAAATGGTTAATTTTAACACATTTTATTTGATTACTGATACTGTAGAATTTAAAAAAAAACAAAACAAAAAACCCTCCACTCCCCACCTAAAATTGTGTTGTGATGTGACGCTAAACAAGTAATTTTGTTAATTTGGCCTTAGGCCTACTTGTTATCGAAAATATTTCGAACTCATTGTTTACGAACTCTGTTTCAAATTTTGACTCTGTACTTTGTTGTAAAAAATATAGATAGGCCTATATGTTGTATTCTTCGCAACCTAATACTAGATTTCTCGGCTGTGAAAAAAACAAAAACAAAAAAAAAAACAACGCATGTACTGTTTTGCCAACATTTTTTGTATAGCCCCCTCAATGTGTCATAGTTACTACATTCCAGTTTTACAATTTCCATTTTGTTCGGATTTTCTGGTTAGCCTAGCTACATGGATATCTTTAAATTAAGATTAAATAAATTGGTTCTTTATTGATTTGTATAAGATTTATAAGAAGATTATCTGTACAAGATGGTAAGTTTTATTGAAATCAACTAGCCATCTAGGCTATCTGACCAGAGAGAATTAATCTTTCTGTCCGCCTGGGCTGGCATCTGCCCTCCTCGGCGTCCATAGCAACGTACGTAGGCTAGGCCTGGGGACATAGGCCTAGTAGTACCTCAGTCCTGAACCTATACCTAGCTAGGGCCTAGGCCTGGCTCGGTTACTGATGTATAATAAGGCTAGTAAGCGTAGCCCTAGGGGTGTACTCTTATCGGAGATAATGCATTAGCTAGACTGTTCAGTGTTGGTAGAGAACAGTATAATAATTAACCCAACAACATGAAAGTGTTAAATTGGGGGGGGGGGGGGGGGATGATAACCTGGCAGGGATGGAGGGCAGTGTTTAGTTTAGATATTAATTATATTAGATAGCAGCCATATGTACGTGCTTGGAAAAAATATTGTTGTGCCTCCGCCCATGAAAGTTGTCCAGAAATTTATGTGCGTAAATCTGGAAAACATTTTATTTTATTAAATTTAGCATAACTCTGTAAATATTCAACCAATTTTTGTCATCTAAACTGTAGATCTCTCTTTCCATTGAATTAATGTGAAACTATCTTTGAAGTCAATTGAGAGATATAATTTTTTGTGTGCTCCTAGCTACCTTTAAACAAGTCGGAATCACCCAAATGATAATGCAACTGAATAGGACCCAAGAAGCTTAGAGATTAAAATAAGTTTATGGTCAAACACTAGAGTGGGATTATTCCACACTTAACTAAACATCAAACCTAATCACACTGGTTGGTTAACCAAAACATTTTAAATATTAAAGTATTTTAATACTTTCTAATATTTTTTTATTTAATAATTTTTCAATATGGTGTGTTTATTCATCTAATTCTAATAATCTTTCAACGTAATAATTTCTTAAATCGCTTTAAACAATTCTTAGAGTTAAAAAGGTATTTTCTTTAGGCCTCTTTACTGAATCTTAATAAATAGTTATCTAATTCTTTTTTTTATTAATACCTTATCTGTCATACTTTCAGATGCTGTCAAGGCAGAAGCCGGCCACTGGGCCAGGCAGTACAACACCCACTTCACAAGAAAGCAAGAAGAAGAAAAAGATGCCCACTCTTGATGAATTCCTGCAGCTGAGGGACTATACGGGAGCTATTACTCTCCTAGAGGTAAAGCAATTTCAACCTCATACAAAATTATCGCCTTGCTACAGTATTTAGATGACACCAGCCTTGAAGTTTTTCACCCGGTTTAAAGCCAATTTCATGGCCCTCCACCCACCCATATCAACTCACTTTTCCATTCTTAAAATCTACTCTAATTATTTATTTAGAGTTTACCAATGAACGCACCCACCCTCAAAATGTCTATCACCCACCCTTATTTTTCTTCAGCTACAACCCTGTTTTATTTTACAACCTGAGACAACTATAACCATTAATTTTGTTGATAAAAGTAAATTCCTGTTTATGTTCTCTGTGTTATTTTCATTAAGTGATTAACATTACTTATTTCTTTAATAGTTCACTAGGAGTAGCGGTAAGGGGAATGAGGAGCAAGATTCCTGGATAGCTTACTGTGCATTCCACTTGGGTGACTACAAAAGAGCCATGGAAGAGTATGAGAGACTGACCAGAAAAGAAGCATGTAACCCAGACCTGTGGTCCAATCTTGGCTGCTGTTACTTCTTCCTTGGGATGTATGACGAGGCTGATAAAGCAGCTTCAAAAGGTATACTTAAGCTCTGTCTAGACTATCAAATTTTATTCGACAAAAAAATGTGACATGCCTAAATATGGTCATGATGACATCACATCATGACCATATATAGGCACATCATGACTATATATGGGCATAAGTTGACTGTGGACAAAGCTTAAGTGAACAAGATTGTATGTCCATAAATATATAAATGCTATGAAATATAATAACATGACTGAGAATTATTAGCTCCTCCTTGGAACCCATGAAGGTGCATTTACACTGAGTCCAAATTTTGGTATCGGAAAGCCAACCGAAGCAATCAGAAAATCAATCAGTGTGTAAGAATAGAGACGCTGGTGTTTAATGCTTCCGAAATGTGGTCCAAATTTTGGTTCGGAAACGATGACTCTTCTTGGATTTTCCTTTAAAAAAATATAAAAAATACTTTGATATGTCAAAAGAAAGAATCCAAAATTTCAGCTTCAATTCCCAAGCGGTATTTAAGTTGTGAACTTTTGAAATTTAGGAGCCACGCCCCCTTTTTCGTTCTGGTAATGGCTCCCTTAACTTTGGTTTTTACCGTTGTCTTATAAACGCTGATACACTGAGACGCTGATACACTGAGACGCTGATACACTGGGACGTTGATACGCTGAGACAAAGATGACGTCATTGAAATTCACCGCAAAGTCATAATGCACTGAGTGGAATCGAAAGTGCAGGGTTCTCAAGTACTACGACTTTAAAATGACTACAGTGGGAAAGAACTGAACAAAATAGTTAATAAATAAAAAAGGAAAGTAATGAAAAGAAAAGTCCCTTGAATTAACTTTGACTTTGTTTTCAGCTCCAAAAAGCAGCTTACAGAACAGACTGCAATTCCATTTATCACAAAAGGTAAGAATTTATATCCTTTAAAAAATTAATTTAAATAATTAAAATAGGTTTTTTTTATTTATTTTGGGTAGAGCAGCTTAGCTCAGTCAGCTATTCTCGTGGTAGCCACTGTGTGTATGCTGTACCATGGAGATCTCTAGGTCCCCGGTTCAATTCCCATCGCTGCTTCTCCTTGTGTTTCAGCTGGAGGTCTGCATTACAAGTTAAAATAGCGCACCGTCTTTCGGATGAGATGTTTAAGCTCTTGGTCCCGTGTGCATTTATGGCCCATGTGCAGTTAAAGAACGCAGTACACTCTCCGGAAAAGAGTAGGGAATTGTCTCCCGGTGTACTGTCCAATCACCGCCAGAAGGACCTCACTGGAAATAAGTATACTAGACTTCTGTGGGCTATCCTTGGTGTTTACACCGAATAAGTCCAGTCCAATCTAATTACAAGAACACCTACTTATTATTTTTTAGCAATAATATTTTACATGAATGTTGTTGGTTTGGATATTTCATGCCCTGGTGATGGTGCATAACATTTGTTTCATATTATTAATTACTTAGTTCAATGATGAGAAGCGATTGATGGGTTACCACCAAGAACTTCAAGACAAGATTGAAGATCAGCTAAGCTTGGCATCAATCCACTATCTCCGTAGCCACTACCAAGAAGCGATAGACATCTACAAGAGAATATTACTGGACAATAGGTGCTTCATATTATATATACACACCATGGATATTATTGTTATATATATTATTGTGGAAGGCACTCTACATATACTCTACCTTTACCAACACAATAATTTTTTTTATTATTTGGCCTAATACAAACTTTAATTGCAATAACTTTTTTGCTTCTCCCAAGGGACTCGCTTGCATTGAATGTATACGTAGCACTTTGTTACTACAAGTTGGACTACTATGATGTGTCTCAGGAGGTTCTTGCAGTTTACTTGCAGAACTTCGCTGACAGTGCTGTGGCACTGAACCTCAAGGCTTGCAATCATTTCAGACTCTACAACGGTAAAGCAGCAGAGGTACGTATTTAAAAATATCGGTAATCTAAAGCCAGGCACTCAATGTCTCTTACGACAGTCGTACGGTCATACGACGGATCCATCTTCACTCCCTGTGAGCGTTAGACGGCGTGACACTGTCCATATTTGGCCAAATCACATGTTTTTGTTAAATAAAATGTGATAGTCTAGTACAGGGCTTCATTTTATTTCCATTGTATGCCATGATGTTGACAGGAACCTTTAGGTAGACTCAAACTGCATTGAAATACATATGTAAATTATTAACACTAAACTATTTCAAATGAATTTTCTCCATCAGGCTGAGCTGAAGAACTTACAAGACCTTGCATCACCTTCATTTGCATATGCTCAAGATCTCATCAAGCACAACCTGGTTAGTTTTTTAATTGATTATTAATTAGGCTAGTGGTTGTCAAATGCCAATGATCAAAATGTCCTGGCACTTCGGCTCAAAACACCCAGACATTAAAAACAGATACACAAAATGGGTCATTAACTCATGAACAAAATTGAAGTAAAATATTTAAATGATACTTAGAATTCACTCTCTTTACTAGCTGTCACGTCTGACAAAAGATTTATTGCCTTTAGTAAATTTCATAAACAACGAAACACTGGAATTAAAGAATGCAGACCATCTTCAAAGTTCCACAACAATGATTTGACTTGATAAATAGTATGTTTAATAGTAACAGTAATAGTAACATCACCAACACGATTAATTCAGGCTACCAATCCTCTTATAACGTATAGTTATGAATTGTTCTCTCCCGGTTCCAATAGACAATATCATAACATTCTTTACTGTTTTCAAGGGGATATGTATATAAATTTTCATATAAATAACATTTTTCATAAATCACAATTCCAATAATATACAATTGAGATGGCCTTTAAGGAAGCTAACTGTTACCAATGGTTTATTAGTAGTATATATTCTCATCATGATGTCACCAGTTGATTATAGAGCCACTCCATTATATTGTTGCTGACAAACAACTTTTCTTTACTTCAAATTGATATTATTTTATTGCACAAGGTGGTTTTTCGTGGAGGAGAGGGTGCACTTCAGATTTTACCACCACTGATTGATGTGATTCCGGAAGCAAGATTAAATCTCGTAATCTATCATCTACGACAAGGTAAATGGCTTTGTATAGTTACTTCACTTAACAAACAGTTTGAATACCAGACCGGGGTCCCAAGTCTCAAGCAAGTAGCGGGGTCTCTTGCAAGTCGGGACAGCATTTCAAAATTCAGTGAGCAAGCGTGAATCTCCCGGAACATAATCCATCTGGATTGGATCTGTCTCTTATACACATCTAGATGTGTATAAGAGACAGTTATTGTGGAAGTGTAATGTAATTTATATAGCACTTTATACCGAAGTCCCAAAGCGCTTGAGGTGTGGACTAGCTCGCAGAGTACATCACTCGTCGTAATAGCTCAGTTGGTAGTAGAGTACCCAAACGGTAATCAGAAGGTCTTGGGTTCAAATCCCAATGGGTACATACATTTTTCTCAAATGTTGATTATCACCCTTAATTATCACCAGGAGAGATGTATCTCCATACCAAAGTTACTATATGATTTGCTGATGATAAAAATAGTGATAATGTAATAACAGTCACGATGACAATGAAAACTATAATGGCAAAAAAAAGAACAATAAAACTATAATGGCAAAAGAAACCCAATAATTATATTTTACATATTAAAAAAATGTTTACTGTAAGATGGTTTTCAATGACAGACGATGTGAATGAGGCTTATGCACTGATAAAGGACGTTGAGCCAACGACACCGCAGGAGTACATCTTGAAAGGTGTAGTCAACGCCACTCTGGGTCAGGACACACAATCTGTGAGTGCTACACTCTGCCATTGATTTGATTTCTTCATCTGTTTGCTTTTTTCTTAACAATAAACAAGAATATATATTATATTTCTTATTGAATTTGTAAATCTAATTATTGAATTGTGTTATAACTTTTTTTAATTCAAATTGTATTTTTATAATCTTTAATCTATCGCATATAGGCTTTTCGAAGCATTGTTTCTTTTTTTTTTCTGAAATTTCGATTGTGTAATTTAGGGTTGGATATGCAATTTGTAGGCTTTCATTTGCATTTAAAGACGAATTTCCAGTATACATTAATGTTATATTTGGACAATAAAGATTGATTTGGTATAAATAAAAAATTATTACTTTTAAAATATTGGATATTTAGGCTTCTAGGTTCCAACATAGGTTCTGTCAGAATAAACAAATTAAAAGTACAAGTAGCAGAGATCCCAAGTCTCCCGAAAATTCGCGGGTTCTCCCGATTTTTGAGGCCGTCTCCCGCCCTCCCGATTTTTATTAATATCTCCCGATTTTTTTTAAATATCCTGAAAATTTCACGAAAAATGTGATTTCCACGATGTCATAGAGCAATGTAACAAAATTTCTTATCTTAAGCCAATATACTATGGCACTCGCTCAGCCATAAAATGTCATAAACAAGGCCAGGGAGTTGTTATTTAAGTTGTTTATCAAAATAACAACTCCAGGGCAAGGCAGGCCTAGTCCGTGGTGTTTATCCTCCATGTTACGATCTTTTGCATCCAGTGCCAACCTCATTCAATGAGATGGCTGTCAGTTGAGTAAATAAATTTCAACAAATTAACGAAATCAGAAATCACTTGGGAATGGATGGGGCCCCAAGTTTTCGCCGCGAAGATTTGGAACAGAATCGGTGCATAAAAAATACTTTTTCTTTCAAGTAAGCTTCAGTTCTTTAATAAAAATACTACAAAAATTATAGTTAATAGGTTTTGGAACTAAGCAGTCTTCCGAAAAATGAAGTTTATTTTATATCGATCCCGAAATACATGTAGGGCTTAGGCCTAGGCTGGCTCTATCTGCAACACTACAGGGTATGTACTGTATGTGTGTTGGGTGGGCGTCTGTGTGTAGTGGTGGTTGTGACTCTGCGGTATTAGGCCTAGTTACGCATGTATAGATGGAGCCTAGCGAGGCAGGATTTAATGTTTTTTTCATGGCATTATGTACCAGTTATTATAGGCTAGACATATATAAATGCCGACTTAAAACATTTAGTATGATTTACTAACTAAATTAAAATATATATATATTTTATAATTTTTCAGTAAAACGTGTGAATCTTGCAAGTTGCAGTTACCTTGCTAGAATTCTATGTTCTTTGATGAGATGTAATAAATCAGCCGTAGCTTCTAACATGCCAATGAACCAAGCAAAGCCTTGTTGACTGCTGCCAAGAATGCTTTACTAGCTAAATGCTAAATAAATAATATTTATAAATTTATATTTTAGGCCAACTGCAATGTGTAAACAAATGTACGATTTTTACCAGGAAGTGTATGCTGAGTCAAATCATTCACGCGTTAATTGGAGCACTCGCAGAATAATGTCACTTGCATTTCACTCGTGAAACACACGCACAATACACACGAGTAATGTCGAATGTTCGGTAATCAGTACTGTAAAATTGTTAAATAAAAGTAAACAAATTGATGAAAATTGTTTGTTTTCGTCATTTTGTGTAATACTTTCATGTTGCACAGCGCGTTGTAAGGCGTCACAGCGCGTCGCTACAGGAGGCGATAGCTTCATGAAAAAAATCTCCATATTTTTTGGTTTTCAAACTTGGGATCTCTGAAGTAGTGAAGTATGGTGCATGGTACACCCCTTAAATAATCTGGAAAATAAAATTTATGTATGTAAAATGATCAATATAACATTTAAAAAGTGACGATAAATCATTGTTATGTTTACATTTTAGAGAGAACATTTGAAAATTGCTCAGCAATACTTTCAACTAGTTGGGGGCTCTGCAAGTGAATGTGGTAAGGTTAATATTAAGCAGTGTATGAGTAGCAGTGCGTGTGTAGCAGTACATGTGCAGTTCATGTGTAGCAGTACTTGAGCAGCAGTGCATGTGCTGCCGTGCAAGTGTAGCCGTGCATGTGTAGCAGTGCATATGTACTGTATCATTGCATGTGTAGAAGTGCGTGTGTAGCGGTGCATTTGTATTCATGTGCTTGTGTTGCAATGCTTGTGTAATATTTTGTGTTTAACAAGGTGTTTAGAGAAGTACATAATAAAACAATACTTAATTTTCTTGTTTCAGACACAATACCTGGTCGTCAGTGCATGGCATCATGTTTTTTTCTCCTGAAGCAATTTGAAGATGTCTTGATTTATCTGAACTCAGTCAAGGTAAGACTTTCTTTTTATACAGGTCTCCAAGGACCACTTTTAGGGACCTGGGTTTCCATGGTTTTTGGCAGCTTTGGTCTCTAATTAGAATATTTAAAAAGTTGTTCATTTGGGACCAAAGAAAAGTGGTCTTTAATTGGAGGGAGACCTGTATTTCCATTGTAGTGATAAAAGTGAGTCTCACCAGTTTGTGGTTAAATTTAATATACTGTACTCAGTAATTATGTTATTACATTCTTGTTTTTGGCATTTGTATTTTTCAGAGTTACTTTTATAATGATGATAGTTTCAACTTCAACTATGCACAAGCTAAAGCTACAGCAGGCAACTACAAAGAAGCGGAAGAGGTAAGGTGTATACTGTAGCCTTTAGCCAGTAAATTTGCATCAAGCAAAAATTAGATACTTGAAATATTTACTTTGTGAACATTATGGTCAGATTCACCCTAAAGCCCTAGTATCCAGATTAGGAGTAAACTGTTAGCACCTGTGTGAGAATGCCAGATCAGTTAGCGCTGTCCGTTACCAGGATCTGGATACGCTAACAGTTAGTGAGCACTATCTGCTAGCAAGTTCAACGTGTTCCTATTATTTCCATTTTCGTAAACTGCACATTGAAACTTTGTTTAAGAACTATAGCAAATACTATACATTCCTATATTATTAATCTGTATGCATCTTGAAACTTGGTTTATGCGCTATAGCAAATACTATACATTCCTATATTATTAATCTGTATGCATCTTGAAACTTGGTTTATGCGCTATAGCAAATACTATACATTCCTACATTATTAAGTTGTATGCATCTTGACTTTGCTTATGTGTTATAGCAAATTTATATACATTACATTACTAAATTATACATTTATTAAGTAGTATGCATTTTGTAATTGACATGGAAAATATTGAATTTCTTGGTCTCATCTTTTCTCCTCAGATTTTTCTGCTAATTCAGAATGAAAAGATTAAAAAGGACTACACATATTTGAGCTGGCTTGCGAGATGCTGTAAGTAGTACTGACATCTCTATGAGAAAGTATTCCTTCAATTAATATTCAGCTGAATAGTAACTTTGAGCTCTCACTAACCAAAGACAGCCCCAGGACTGAAAGGTGCCCTCTCATGGGATATTTATTAGCATTTTGCTTCATACATTAGCCAAGCAGTGCCTTTTTAAGGGAGACTAGTGTGTAAAGAATATAAAAATACTTACGTAAAATGTTGAATATGCCAGAGTTGGTGGGCTTTACCCCAGGGCCCTGAAAAAGCCACAGCCAGGCCCCTCGGCCCACTTTGTTACGCCACTGAATACTACTAATGAGCACATGATGTAACTATAATAACATTTCAAGTTGAAGTATCAATATTATTAGCACAATCATTTCTGTTGTTACATGGACACATTTCACCCACAATGAATCTTGCTTTTTTTTACTGTATGTATATGGCAAAGCGTATAAATTTATTTTAATTCTACAGTAATATTTATGGTGATTTTTTTTTTGTTCTCAGACATAATGAACCGTAAAGCTCGACTAGCATGGGAGCTGTACCTGAAGATGGAGACGTCTGGTGAATCATTTAGTCTTCTGCAGCTGATTGGAAATGATTGTTACAAGGTTAGAATTGCGTTCTATTAGTGTTTGCTATTTATTCCTCTCTTTATGTTTCATTTTTATGTTCCGACTACTTGCAGACCAATCAATTGTTCACTGCAGCTCAAAATAAATAACATATTAGACCATTTATTCTGGTGGTGTTCTTTTTTGTTTTGGAACGCACATAGAGATGGATACTACAAGTGCACAGCTATTATTCAACCCTGGTGTGTTTTATGTATATTTAATCAGTGTAATTGTTCTTTTAGATGGGCCAGTTTTATTACGCTGCCAAGGCATTTGATACGTTAGAGAGACTTGATCCAAACCCTGAATACTGGGAAGGTAAACGAGGAGCCTGCGTCGGTGTGTTTCAACAGATTATAGCCGGCCATGAACCAAGGTAAGCTGCAACTTTTTCATCTTTTAATGACTCTTCAATGTGCCAAGTACCAGGCGTTATGCTTACTGATGTAGTGGTGGTTTGAATTCAAATGCTTGTTAAAAGTTACTCCATAAACAAACTGTACATTGTTACATTGTAGCAGTAAATAAACTGTAATATTGTCTCTTTGAACACTTATTACTGCACCCACTATGGGATATTTGGAAAGTATCAATACTTGGGCCTAATTTACAAACTTCCTGTTCGTATTTCAGAGAAACTCTCAGAGACATTCTGCAAATCTTAAGAAACACTGGAAATCCTCAAGTTGAGTACATCATCCGAGCCATGAAGAAGTGGGCAAAAGATAACCATGTTCCAATTAGCTAGTTGTGATGTTAAAGTACATTACAACTATGTGGACTACTAGATGCTGTGTAAGGGATTCAGTTGGAAACTTGCCTGCAAAATACCTACTTGATTTTAGATGACATTTTGACCTATACTGCTTTCAATAATCCTTGTTAGGAGTTTTACTATAATTTGCTATGGATTGCTTCTTTTTTTCTAATTTTGCAAAACAATTATAATAATAATACTCAAACATTTATAAGGCGCCAATTCCAAGAATGATCAAAGGCGTGAGCATTATTACCCCTGGTTACTAGATAACGTACAATGGCAAACCAGCACAAAGTGCAACTTCCTCTGCTCCCTAGGGAGTATCCCTAGGCGTTAGCGCATGAAACTATGAACATTCAATGCCACAACATCCAACCAGGTACCCATTTATACTCCTGGGTAGAGAGAGGCAAACGTAGATAAAGTGCCTTGCCCAAGGACACAAGCTTACTGATGTAGTGGTGGTTTGAATTCAAATGCTTGTTAAAAGTTACTCCATAAACAAACTGTACATTGTTACATTGTAGCAGTAAATAAACTGTAATATTGTCTCTTTGAACACTTATTACTGCACCCACTATGGGATATTTGGAAAGTATCAATACTTGGGCCTAATGCTTTTTACTTAATGTTTTTTCAATATTAATTTACAAACTTCCTGTTCATATTTCAGAGAAACTCTCAGAGACATTCTGCAAATCTTAAGAAACACTGGAAATCCTCAAGTTGAGTACATCATCCGAGCCATGAAGAAGTGGGCAAAAGATAACCATGTTCCAATTAGCTAGTTGTGATGTTAAAGTACATTACAACTATGTGAACTACTAGATGCTGTGTAAGGGATTCAGTTGGAAACTTGCCTCCAAGTACCTACTTGGTTTTAGATGACATTTTGACCTATACTGCCTTTCAATGATCCTTGCTAGGAGTTTGACTATAATTTGCTATGGATTGCTTCTTTTTTTCTAATTTTGCAAAACAATTATGATATCAAATAGATTAAATATTCATTTTTGGATTAACTGAGTGATATCACCATGAATATAAACTTACATTTCAGCCCTCCAGCTGAAACCCAAGCAGAGTAGCGATGAGAATTGAACGGGGGAACAAAAGATTTTGATGATTCAGCGCATACAGAGTGGCTACCACCACTGTAGTTGACTGATCTACCTGCTGTGAAATTAAATAACAGGCTGACAAATGGTTTTGTTTAGAATCAAAACGATATAGGTAGTAGGTCGAATAAGGTCTGCAAAATAATTTAAAAAAAAAGAAGTTGTCATAGGCATAGGCATAGACAAAAACTATGGTCCAAACATAGTTCTTTGTGATGCAATTGTAAAAATACAGTAGTTAAATATACCTTTCAACCAATCGGTTGTCTAGGTTCTTTAAAAAATATTCTCCCAATTAACATGATATTCTGCTGCTTTCATTGGATTGACCAATTAATAAATGTTTCATTTAATTAACCGTCCGAATCGCCGTACAGTCTTCATAGTTCACATAAGGTTTGTTAATACATGTATTATGTGTTACTTAATCCTCGGGTTAGTCCTGTACTATAAGTTGAATGTTTATTGACGAGACCTGTCATTCTGTTCTAGGTTACACCTTGGAATTCATTCAATTCAACGCGAGCTTTTGATGTGATGTAAATTCTTGCATATTTAAACAAACCTTGAATGTACAGTATTTAATTAAATGAATGTTAGTCTAAAAGAAATACTATCTGTTTTTGTACTTTTTCTTGTTTCAATAAAACACAATTCAGATATTGAAGTTTGAACATAAATATATTCTTGCCTTCTCACCAGCGCCTGGTAGACAATCCTTGGTCTCCAAGCATAAACTGTCTGACTCAGCACGGTTTTGGCATAGGTCTTCTGCTTAATTGCCTATGTCCTGACTGTCTACAGAAGTGACCCTTCGAGTTCCTAAACATGGAATAAACACTTAAGACGTCTTTCCGAGATTATTTATCTTGGAAAGACGAATTCCAAGATAACGGATCTTGGAAAGACAGATAAATTATCTTGGAAAGACGTGTTTACAATATAAATTATCTCGGTATTCCGTCTAAATTTCCAAGATACCTTATCTTGGAGTTCCGTCTTTCCATGATACAATTACTGTATCTTAGAAAGACGCCTTTTAATAAGTGTTTATTCCCTGTTTCCAAAATAATTATCTCCAATTTAGATGGATGAATAGTTTATGCTAATCTTCAAGTAAATTTACTGATAAGAAGATAGTTTTGATTATAATCTTACTGTATAGATCGAGCAGCTTAGCCCAGTCAGCTAACCACTGTGTATGCGCTGAACCGTGGAGACCTCTAGGTCTCCAGTTCAATTCCCATCGCTACCTCTCCTTGTGTTTCAGCTGGAGGGCTGAAAACAAGTTATAATAGCGCACCGTCTTTCGTCCCCCGCCCATACTCCTCCGAGAATCATCTAGTGTCTAGTCTTATTGGGCGGCCCACGAGACTCATTCCACGGGAACATCTCATAATCCTGTACAGTATGTACCAAAGTTGAAAGGTTAGGCCTACACTTTTACCTTCTTTATAGTACTAATATTTCCTTTTTACTTTCTTGTATTTCCTAGTCATTTCTCTCCTTTTCTGTTTTTATATCTGCTCATCATTTCTTCCTTACGTTTCCTTATCTTTCACTTGCATTACCTTATTACAATTTTATCATCTTTTTCTGGTTTCCTTATCCATTTATTCTAGTTTCCTGCTTTTACTTACCTATTCATGATTTCCTTTCTACTTACTATCTAATGCCGGATAGGCTTCCCTTAATAGCAGATGTGATTTTATAGACATTTTGAAAATATAATAAGCTCACTGGATCCATGTCCATGCTGGATATAGTTGTGAAAGCAGACACTTCCTCAAGTAATATTTTGTAAATAATCCGGTGTAAATCTTTCAGAATGTTGTTGATATGTGCATATTTTGTGATTACACTTGCAGCAAAATTTTGAATTAAAGCCGGTGTATATATGTTTGTGGAAGCCAATATTGCAAGGAGTTCCCCCATGTCTCCAATAGAAGAGATGATCAGATGACGAGATCCTGGACCCCATGTATCATTCACAAATCAGACTGTAGGTAGGCCACAATAATATTGTACAATATTTGTTTAGTTTGGGCATAAATTAGGTGAAATATAATTTGCTTTCAAAAGATGTTCATTCTGTGGTTCCATAGCACTCAGTAACTCAATAAAACAGTCAGTCGAAATTCATTGAGCCTTTATTATAAAAAGTATGTATAAAGACAATGACAATAAGTTACTTTACAACATGTATTCAACACAACGTCTTGAGAACAGAATCAACAAATACTGGCATCTGAATTACTTCATTAACACTAACAGATCAACAGTTTGTGATATATAAAGTTCCATGCCAACTTTGAATGAAACGCATTTCTTCAATCAACAATAACGGTGCCTCAGGACTGAAATCAATTTATGCATTTTATGTTTTCAAAACATATTTCTTAATGCTACTTTTAATCTACTATATCTTACATACTTTCATTGAAGCTGAGGTAGCTGGCCTAAAATGTGTAGGTAAATTATATACATCAAAAATAACAATGATGTGGGAAACAATACAAATTTCATGAACAACAGCTAAAAAGTAAAATGCAAGTAGAGTAATCAGCCAGAAATATAACCACAGCTTTCGGACAACACCAGTCCTTCTGTGACGAATGAGTGAGAGAATAAAAAGCCAAATGGTATAGGGTCAGAATTCAGGCAAGAGTGATTAGAAACTGCAGGCTAGGTGAGATAGGGCAGTGAGCATTAATAAACAGCATGCAGAAAAAAATGAACAAGAAAGCTAAAACTAAACTTTTGAGGATTGCCTCAATGAATAAGCCAAAATACAGTACATTTATTATACACATGGAACTCATCTTCAACCACAAAGTAGTCTTGTACCAGATATCAAGTCAATTTCACTCAAGTATACACTACAAATATTTACATTTTTTACTAATGCATACAAGGATGGAGATTGGAGTTGTATTAGCAGGAATTGAACCCAGGAATCTAAGATTTGAAGGCAAGCACCTTAACCATCAAGTCACGGCTAAGCTTACACTACTCAAAGATATTCTTACTGTACATTGGTTTGAAGATAGAAAACAATGGAACAAGTACTTTTACGGATTTGTTGTACAGACGTACTTAAATCAACCTACCTGGGGAGGATGCAGGAGTGTGAGATCGCACCCCCATCCCCCTCCCCCACTCAATTGGATAAGGAAAATTAATTGTTGTATTGTTGATAATTATTTTTATCATCATAAACACAGTACAGGTATGATATTTAGAGTATGGAAGTGAAATTTTCGGTCACCTTGAGGTCCATATTCACTCGCGCTCTCCCTACCGCCTAATCCTGCATCCGTCCCAGATCTACTATAAGTACTTAACTATGCCATCTGAAGGAACCACAGTAGTTTGAGAAATACAAAATCATAGTAATCATAAAGAGCTGTTTCTGTGCTTGTTAAACGCATTATATTCATTCTGAAATACTTTAACATCTTAAGTTTAAACAAAAATACTGACCCTTTTGTTTTAACGCTCAAAATATAATATCTGTTGCACATTTTTGGAGACATCTGTTTTCATCGAAACATTTTCTTACAGGATCAGGAGATCAAATTACATAATTTAATTATCCAGGTACAGTAACTACTATCAATGAATCATAATTATATTTATATAATATATACATATGTAATTTATTGAATAGACACCTTCAAACTTTTCAATAACAAATGGAAAGTGATCAAATCTCACAAAAAAAAAAAAAAAATTAAAAATTTGATTACAGTACTTTCTGGAGCAAGTCTAAAAATTGTCACCAGTTTAGTGATTCTACCCCAAATAAATAGAGCCCTTTATTAAACTTTAAGAAAAAAAACTCAGAGACAGTAATTATTAAGGGGAAATCAGATCAGCAGTTTGAATTCCCTGAATACTTTTAGAACACAAATATATTGTTGAAGATGACCCAATGAAGTTTGCAATGTTGAAAATCAAGGATGTTCATTTGTGTTAGCTAAAACTCTAAACATTGGTCAAATACTCTTCCATTAGGTCCCCAATTAGGTTACAGGCCTGTAAATAGGTTCCAGATTATGACGATACTTGCCAGATATTTTAGTGGAAGACAAATTATGAATATGTATGATGGGCAAGCCCTACACCCTGAGAAACACATGTTTAAAGACCTGTCCTGACTACCAAATTCTTTTGACAAAAACATGTGACATGCCTAAATATGGTCATGATGACATCATGACTATATATGGACACATTATGACTATATATGAGCATACAACAGTTTTTTGTCAAGGAACATTTGAGTGTGTGGACAAAGCTAATAAATTGTAATCTCAACTGGTACTGTATTTAATTTTCAAAAGCACCCTTATTACATAAATTCAAAATTCCTGCCATGTTTGTAATGATTTAGCATGACACTGAATACTATAAACTTAATCACATAAATTTCTTGTAATCCATTTTTAAAAATCCAAATCATAATTAGAGCATTTGTGACATTTACAGTACTAAAAGGAAGATAAATTCCCTACTTACTAAGATAGCTTTTTGTATCACAAAGCATAAATCACTACTCTATGGTTTCTGGTAAGCATACTTTCAAGTCATCATATTACACATACAAATTTCTGCATTTAAATAATAAGCTACAAAAATATAATTTACAAACATTTTTTACAGAGACAAATCCATTAAGTACAGAACTTAAAACCAGACTTATCTGTTAAGTTTTTATTATCAAGGTATCAATGTTTTGTGTCACAGTAATTAAATGCTTTTAATTTGTTTGCATAAATGGAATTAAAAAACAAATGTTGTAAGAGTAGCAAATGATTAACTCATTGTAAGCAGTGTAATAATAGCCACAGCATCATAGCTATAGCAATAATGTACATTAGGGCAGCAGCAGGTAACATCACTGTAACTGGCTGTAGCAATACCTGTATCATTAGGGCAGCAGCTAGTAACATCTCTGTAACTGGTTGTAGCAATATCTGTATCATTAGGGCAGCAGCCGGTAACGTCACTGTAACTTGCTGTAGCAATATCTGTAACATTAGGGCAGCAGCTAGTAACATCATTGTAACTGGTTGTAGCAATATCTATATCATTAGGGCAGCAGCAGGTAACATCACTGTAACTGGCTGTAGCAATACCTGTATCATTAGGGCAGCAGCTAGTAACATCTCTGTAACTGATTGTAGCAATATCTGTATCATTAGGGCAGCAGCCGGTAACGTCACTGTAACTGGCTGTAGCAATATCTGTAACATTAGGGCAGCAGCTAGTAACATCATTGTAACTGATTGTAGCAATATCTGTATCATTAGGGCAGCAGCCGGTAACGTCACTGTAACTGGCTGTAGCAATATCTGTAACATTAGGGCAGCAGCAGGTAACATCATTGTAACTGGCTGTAGCAATATCTGTAACATTAGGGCAGCAGCTAGTAACATCATTGTAACTGGTTGTAGCAATATCTGTATCATTAGGGCAGCAGCCGGTAACGTCACTGTAACTTGCTGTAGCAATATCTGTAACATTAGGGCAGCAGCTAGTAACATCATTGTAACTGGTTGTAGCAATATCTATATCATTAGGGCAGCAGCAGGTAACATCACTGTAACTGGCTGTAGCAATATCTGTAACATTAGGGCAGCAGCCGGTAACATCAATGTAACTAGCCACAACTGGTTTAAAAATAAGAATCCCAATAATAGTGAATTAGGCAGTACACTGGAAGATAGATCTTTTCTATAGAGTGTATTGCCTTACTGCGTATAATGTACATGTACACTAGAGCATATAAGGCTAATGGCTTAAATGTCTCATCCAAGATGCTGTGTGCTATTGTAACTTGTACTTTGACAGAAACACAAGAGCAGCAATGAAACTATGGTCCAGATGCCAAAGTATTTGTAGCCCACACAGTGGCTACAAATAGTTTAGCTAAATAAGCTATTTACTGGATAGATTATGCAAAAAAGTATATTTCCTAAACATGACACAAAATCTTCAATATCTATTTTTGAAGATTTTTGGGCAAAAATATTTTTTTTCATACCAATAAGGAGCCCAAAATATTTAAGTAGTGTTTAAAAAAAGCGACATTTTAAGCATTAATGAATAAATTTGATACTTCAATCATTAACGCTAGCTATGTGGCTACCATTTTACTAACCAAAAACATGTGGCGCATGACAGCTGGCTATAAACCATAGAATTAGGACTACGATGATAGCATACAAATAATGAATGTTTATGAGTGCAATGGGAAGAATATTTTCAATGTCACATGATACGAAATACACCAATCAAATGACAAGGATATATTTAGGAGTGTTATAATATATATAAACAAATAAATACATTTTTTATAAAAAAAATCCAACCCCAATTCCAAAATGACACACTGCTTGGGAAACATGATATAATATGATGCTGGATACATATACCAAAAAAAGCCTCTAAGCGCTCCAGATTATTAACTCTGGTCATTGGATCAAGCACATATGAAAAATATTGACATCGATAATATGACCCAAGCCAGTTCGGAGTTTAACTGCACATGTCCGCATCAAGGTCAATTGAAATAAACAAACATACACACAAAATAGGTTTATGTCCATTGACCTTGGATATAGGCAAGCACAGTTCAAACTACCTGTAAATTCTACATCAACCAATATCTTCTTAGTATGGTATTAATTTAAGTTATGTAAATACAATATTTGATTATTGTGTTCTTCTTTTATTTATTTGTTTCTTTCTCAGGTACTTTATTTAGTTATTTTTGAGTTCCCTTATTCACTAATCTTGAATCAGATATTTACATTTTGTTTGTTTTATTATGGAATAAAGTTTACTTACTTTACTTTTTAATTGATCAAATTTATACTGGAGTTTTCACTAAAATCACCACTCCTACCAAAAACGTCCACAGCACACACTGAAAAGTGATAAATACTACCATGTTGGAACTGTGTCAAGGTGCAGGCCATTGGCAGTGGAAGAGCTTTTACTTCACCAATCTTTTTCCAATTGCTACTGCTAGGTGGGCCTTCCTGTTCTTGATAAGCAAATAAATGATAGAAACCAATCTCAGCAGATCCCGGCTGCAACACCATTGTCCATGATAGAACAATTCCATTGGGTGCTCTAGTGATATTCAGTACCGGTTTGCCAGGGATCAGAAGTAATTTAGCTTGTAACGGTAACTGGGCGGGAACTGGTTGAGGAGGGAGTGCAGCTGGATGTTTCATTCTGAACTGCTGATGTCTCTGCTGCACATTAGCCTGGTGCGAGAGCGCAAGTAGCTGTGAAGCTGCAGTTTGTTGTGATGTTGCTGCAACTGGTGCTGCCCCTGGCTGCAGAGGGGGTTGGTTGCGAAATGACTGCCCATGAATGTGAGTGAACTCTGTCTGGAACTGCTTCTGTTTCTGGGACGTACTATGCAAGTTTCCCTGCACCTCCACAAGCATTGATAGTGCTCAATTACTCTTCACAAGAACATATATAGGCCTATATTATAAGAACAACAAGGCTGGACACAGACATGTCTATCACGCTGTGTTTCATGCTAAGTGATCTTCAGATATGAAGCAATAAACCCTTAATCATCTTGCTGGAATGCTTTATAAATATTTATAAATTCTACACATTAAAGAAAAGGAAGCTGTTATTTTTGTTCACCTGAATTTCATGTAAAGTCTTGAGGAGCTCTTCCCGTCGGGCACTTGAAATGTCTTTGCTTTGCAGTTTAACTACAATCTCAGTCTGTTGGTTTTGCAGATTATCATATGTTTCCTAAACAAACCAGCCAAACAAAAACTAAACATCTCAGTATTTTGAGTGGTTACATGTTCATTAACAAATTAGCTAAGCTGTACTTAATACATGAATAAATTGGTAGAGGCTGTCGGAGTTTGTCATGGAGATTGAAAGCCTTTGCCTCTTCAGAACAATATAAACACAATTGAAAAAAAAAAATACAGGTAAAATAAAGTGAATAGCTAAAATACAAATGAAATTGAATCTCATGTTACTTGAAATCGTTAATTCTAAATTAAGTAATCAAAAATATATTGAACACCCCATCGAATCCATGTAAGATATCATTAATTTTCCCTTACTCATTCCCATAGCAGGGATGCATTCTCAGTTAAATTACACCCATTAAGAATTCAATATGTCAGTAAGTTTGGAGAACTTCAGAAAAAGAAATGTCTTGGCTGTTTTTGGTTAGGTTTGATTGATATGTATGAAATTCAACACTACTCAAATTTTTGTTTAAAAATTGCAGTCCAAATTTCAAAACTTGCAGTCCATTTATGACCATAATCCAGGGGTTGAGAATTGTATAGGAAATTATAAGATAAAAAATAAAATAAACAAACCTTCAACCGGACCATCGTTGTGTGTAGCTGCAAAGCATGTCTCTGGCTATTTACTGCACTGCTACTTGTTGACTGTTGAAAAAAATTATTTAAGAATTAAAATTTACAGGAAAAGGTTTCATATTACTACTGCCTATGCAGCACCTGGACGAGGGTGCTCAGTCGCCAACAGAGGGCGATGTGCCAGTGCAATAAAGGTGAAAAGTGTGCGACTATTTGCAATATGATGATCATCTTCAGGGTCTCAATGGCGCTCTTAATCTGCTCTATAGTGGGCAGTTCAATGATTTTCCTTGATTGAATGATACCACTAACAAAAAGACACATGACCCTTTTCCACAAAAACAATGTGACAATTTAATAATAAATAATAATTTCATATAGAATATAATCTTATAAAACATATTACAGTATTATTTTACCAACTGTGTTTAGTACAAAAACCGCTACTATTGCTAAAAAAACAATAGTACACAAAAGTTATTAAATGATTGACCTGACCTGCGAGACTGGGAGCTGCTGTGCAGGAGTTGGCATTCCCATGACCACCGGATATCGATTTGGATTATTAGAGACAATTTGCGCTTGCATGGGTTCATGCCTTTGCAGCATCAATGAATTCACTGCTTGTGGTAGCACCACTGAGTCTGTTCGAGTCTGAAGTTGAGGTGCCTAAGATTAATTCAAAACAGAAATCTATTCATTTTACTAATGTAAATATGACTATTACAAACAGATACAAACATATCATGGGATAGATAAGAGTTAAGGTGATTTGAGACTACACAAAAAATGGTTATTATAATGATGTATACCGTCATAGATTTACGGCACCCTGAGTTATGACATATCAAATCGCTCTAAGCGATGCAATGGAATATTTAAATGGCCATTGGGCTAAAATGCCTAAATATGGTCATAATGACATCACATTAAGATCATATATAGGCACATTATGATTATATATGAGCATACAACAGTTTTTTTAACTAATAAATCTTGATAACCAAGACTCTGAACAGAGCTAAGTCTTTCTTCCATGGTTGTGTGATTCCATTTCAGACAGGAGTCAACACAGGTTGGTTCAAACTACAAACGCATTGAGCCAACCCAGCAAGTGATCTACTTGAAGACTACATGAAAGTATAAATATTATAATTGTTAACAAAATACCAACACTTACAGTTTGTGAGTTCAGTGCTACCGTGTAACTGGGAGGGGGAAATGCTGCTCTGCTCTGGGGGTGCAATAATCTATGCTGCTGCACTGGCGTTTGCTGCATTAGTGATATAGAAACATTTGGTGGGGGTTGTGGTCGGTTCTCAATGGACGTTGGTTGGACACCAGGATATCTTACTGGTTCTCTATATTGTGACGTGAAACCTCTGACCGTCTGTGATTGGGTTATTAGCTGCGGAGGTGGTCTGGAATGAGTACTGTTTGGTATTCCTTGACTAGCAGTCTTTGTTTGGGGAAGAAGCTGATGGACCACAGAGGGAGCTGTTAATGCCCTAGCTGCTGATGTTGCTTGTGCCATTACAGGATTAGAAGTCATCATAGTTGATCCATGAACAGTATTTCTGTGTTCTGGCAATTGCTGGTGAGCTACAGAGTTTGACACATGTTGAGGACGAATATACCTGGTGCCCATGGCATTACTTACTGGAATATGCATTACTCTTTGAGGAGGTGTGTTTGGTCTGACACTTGGAGTGGCAGTTGCCATTCTTAGATTGTTGACTGTTCTAGAGGTTTGCAAATTTGTCCTAAGTATCGGTGATTGTATCAAGGATGGAAGAACATTAGGGCTTGGAACCTTAGATGCTAACTGCTGTGATACAGTCTTTCTGTTAGGGATTAACTTAGGAGGTGGACCAGGAGAAGGTTTAGGAGATGTCTGCTGTGTTACAGCTACTGCATTTGCAGATGTATTGACTTCATCAGAATCCTGTGTTAGGTCAATCACTGCCATAGGAGATGATAACTTCTTTCCAGCTTTCTGAGGACTTGTTGAAGTCGTCTGTGTTGGTGAAGGTGTAACCTGCAAAAATGCAAATGAATCCATAATATAAACCAGACCTGTCTGTGCCAGGGCTGTTTCTATTTAAGATTAAATTAAGGACAATGTAGACATTTTTAGAAAAGTATGGAATTATAGCTTTTATACAGAAAATAGAACAGAATGTTATGACAAATATTTATGGTGGCCAAGATATGCTTCTATGAATATGACATTTGACCTTGACATTTTGCTCACTCAGAATAAATTTCTAAATGATTGCAATTATGAATGAATTTTTAGATTTTTGTTATCAAATCTTGATTCGGGCAAATCTTTAATTTGGTTGCCAGTGACAATTATGTTGTGTATTGTGTAAGAGAGAATGTTATTAACTCACCTGTGGTGGTTTCATATTTGGAGATTTCTGTAGAAAACTACATGGACTTGTATACTTAGGCACTGTGCTGCTCAGCATATTCTCCAATTTTGATATTGGTGACTGGAAATTTTAAAGTTTTGTAATAATAAATTAATAATAATGTTTAATAATGCCTCTAATAGTACTATACACAAGAATTACAAACCATTTTTTCTTTTTAGCTACAGAGTCAAAACTATTGAATATGCTTTATTATACTAAAAATAGTATTAGAAGCACTATCAACACAAACGTGTTATCACATGCTATATTAGTGAAAATCATTGGGTGTTCAAAATAATGATTGATTGATGAAAATAAGACTTGATACATGGGTAAATATCATTATTATTATTATATTATTATTATTATTATTATTATTATTATTATTATTATTATTAACCATTCCCAGCAGGGAAAATTCGGCCTTCACTCATTAGATGTAGTGAAGTTCTCAAACAACTGATATGACTGGATTGGTGGAGGAAAGCATTGATTATGATCTAATCTAGATCAAAATCAACTGTAAATAATATTTGTTTTTTTATAAACATCTAGCTAGCATTGCCTTGTTCAAAAGTCTTAAACTAAATAATGTATTCTTATCTGATTTATATATGATTATAAAATTATTAATAATCTGGTTTACTGTGAATAATTTGGTTTTACTGTGGATTTAACAATTATGGTGATGATTGAAGCAACTCAAAACATTGAGACATCACAACAAAAACAATAGTTCTTTCCAGACAGTTCTTATCAGAACTATCTACGTGGTGTATCACAAGTGTTTAATATATTTTAAACAATAATATTATGTAACAAGTGGACCTGTATAAATACATCAGTTTCCCTGAAGAAGTTGCTGAGACACAATAGTAATGAAAGCTTGAAGTGAGATTTACATTTTATTTCAACATTTCCAATTGCACTCAACATTATGAGTATTGGAATAGTATCAAATATTCTTGACTATAATATTATGGTTCTAGAGTTGAGGAAACATACCTTTGCAGTGTTTGTAGAGCTTGATAGAACAGACTTGTGAACTTCAGGTTTTGATGTTGGAGAGGGAGACGTTTGCAGAGGTTTAGTACATACTGGAACTGGACATGTGGTAGTGACAGGTGGGGAAGAATTTACAGCACTAGAGGAATCCGAGGCAGCTGGTGGTGTGCTACTAGGTGGCGTCTTCCAACGTCGCACCTTGACAGAGGTCAATACAGGGTATGACTGTGCTTTAATGGCATTGATAAAAAAGTTATCCACGTATTGGCTTTCAACTGATACCATCTTCGGCTTCTGCTCCTTTAATAAAATAAGATACATTAAATTTTAAATATAAATTTGTTTTATCCACAATAATCGCAACTGCAGTATACAGGTTGTTTTGATTGATAGGTAAATAGGTGGATGGTCATCTACTTGTTGTAAACATCAATGCACATTAATAAATAAGGTGACATACCTGATATACAGTATAATTAAATTTTTAAAAGGTAGAAAATACTACAATACAAGAAAATATAAACTAGAAAAACAGCTGGGCCTATTGACTGATTAAACATAGGATATTAATTACCAGATAATGTACACTGTAATTACCAGGTGGAGGATACTATGATCCCCAGGTGGAAGGTGCCTTAATTACCAGGTGAAGGATACTATAAGTACCGTATAAAAGGTACTGTAATTACCAGGTGGATGATATTAAAATTACAAGGTGAAGTATATTATAATTACCAGGAGGAAAATAATACATTCACCAGGTGGAAGGTACTATAATTACCAGGTGGCAGATATTTTAATTACCAGGTGGAGAATATTATAATTACCAGACAAAGAATATTATAATTACCAGGAGAAGGATATTATAATTACCAGGTGGAAGGAACTACTGTATACTTACCAGGTGGAAGATACTATAATCACCAGGTGGAAAGTACTATAATCACCAGGTGGATGACAGTATGAACACCAGGTGTAGAATATAATCATCAGAAATATTAACACCAACTTTCCTCAAAATATACATTTCTTCTTGAATATATCAAACTGACCTAACATACAACTGACTCCTTTTAGTCACAACACCTCACATAATATACAAACCTAAAATTATCTAAATCTTAACAAAATATAAAATCGAAATAAAACTCCCAACATACCTGATGCTGTGAATCCTGTTTTAGTTTTGAGATTTCAGTAGCATGCTGGACATCCTTCTGCTTAATCATGCTACGATAAGTTTCTAATGCTTTTGACACTGCTTCCAATTGGAGGACCATTGGTTTTAGAAGATCCACAGCTTTCTTCTTTAACATTGATTGTAAATCCTGAAAAACATATATAACTATCAGTTACATCAAATGCTAATATAATTATCTATAATCATAATTGTATTTACCTCATCATTGGATGGAATTACTGTAATTATTATATGGGACGGTATATTTATGAATTAATTTACCTTGGTTGCCACAATTGTATAACCATCAGGAAGGTGTTCCATAATAGCAGATATGTCAAAAGTGTTAGAATTCGAATCAGCTAAATAAGAAATAACAGTATTGTGAAATAAATAACATTCAGATTACCAATATCATTAAAACAATATGAGTTGTTGTATACATCATAAAAAATCGTTTAATAGAGCTTAGAAAGTTTTAATATCGCTAAATCATAATTAAAACTAAAAATAATTAAAAAAGAATTCCTCATAAAACAACTTACTTTTTTCTTCCAGTGTATCTTGACCATTGGTATCAAGTTTCAATCTCTTTGAAAGCTGATTGTTTGTAAAGGAGGGAGACCCTGGTCTTTTACTTGAGAGGTCATTATTGTCAATTAATACATTTTCCATAGCATCAGACACTAAAGGATCAGACTCTACAGGTTTTTCAGAAAGAGTCTTATTATCTATATTCATGGAAGCAGATTGAAAAGCTTCAGTCCCTGTCTCTATAGGAATTGGATCCGTTTCTGAGGTAGTCGAGATTATTTCAACAGGTTGACATTTTAGTTCCACCTGAGATACAGCAGGTGTTACAAGTGGTGAACTATCAATTGATTTAGTCTCTATAACAGCAGAAGTAGAAACAGATTTTATGATTGGTGTAACTACTGTAGACAAACTAGAAATCTCTGCATTCTTTGATGGTTCTACTTCCAAAGTAACTTGATTTGGTTCCTTTTGTGCACTGGCTGCTGCATTAACTTTCTCTGTGACATCAGTACGGCAATAATCTGAAGCAATAGGTGCAGTTTCTGTGGATATTACATTACTTGATTGATTTACAACAGTATCAATTTGGCTGATAACAATGTCACTGCAAGACTTTCCAGATATATATTGTTCAGTATTCAAATTGGTATCATCAACTCTTGCATGTGAAATTTCAGTTATGTTTAATTTCAGTTGTTTAGTAGTAGCATTTGGGCTTTTAACATCTAAATATATATCATTTGATCTTTTTTGCAATATTGTATCACCAGGTAACTGCTGTTTCTCAACTTCTAGTGATGGTTGTCCAACTGCTTCCAATTTCGGTGTGACAGAATGCACAGACTGAATAACAATCAAGCTTTCAGAGGAACTTGTCACATCAGGTGATAGTGCTGAATCAGAATAAACACTGGTTTGTATAATACCGGACTGCTCTAAATTATGGACACTGGTTTCCTTAATTAACTTTGCAACTTCAGAAGCAACTGCTTCATCTGCACTTAGTGATGACTGGTTTGTAGTCAGCAATTCTTTGTTCAGAGCACCAGAGATATCATCTACTGGAATATTCATCTCCATTCTGCCCACTGTTTTTCCAACCTTTTCTAAATGAGACAAAGTAGTAATATTCTTTGAATCAAATGTATTGATGCTAATTAACTCTGGATTTGTAAATGAATCCGGAATTAACTCTTTGTCAACCGAAGGTGCATTGCTTTCCATTTCAACTGCATGAACTTCAGGTTGGCTAACACTTGCATCTGGTAAAGCATCACTTAAATCAACCTTTTGTGAATTTACTGCAATTGTGATGGCAGTCTGTTCATTTATATCTGTTTCTGTGACTTTCTTGCCAATGTCACTAGCTATTACCACCTTTTCTGATAAGGCATTTGTGCTCTTGCCTGTTAATGAATCATCAACAGCAGATTTTGTTACATCAGGTAAAATAATATCACATGCTGAGTCCTCTTTAAATGATATATCAGGAGTGAGAATTTCTTGTTTGTTAGACGGTGCATCTGAACTATTGTTTTCCTTGTTTGAATCAGAGACTTGGCTAGTCTGCATTGATTTAACATTTAACGTCAACTTGGCTGGAGAGCACTGAAACTGCTTTCTCTGCTCTTTATGACATTTTGAACATGTAGTACAAATTATTGTAACATCATCATCATCATCCTCTTCTGGACGAGGAGGTGTTAAGTTATCACCCCCAGCAGAGCTCAAATCCTTTGACTCTGTGTTGTGATTGGAAAATTCAGGTGGAATGCTATTACTTGAAATATCAATAGTACTGGTGTTATCTACTTTATTTTGTTCAACATTCAAATTACAGAGTTCCTTCTCTTTGTTCTGATGATCATTTTCTTTAACAATGACTCCACTGTTGAGAGTGATTTCATTTGGTGTTCCTTCTTTTACTGATGCTTTGTGATCAGAAGTATTAATTACTTCATTTCTGTCTTTAAACACTTTATGCACTATGGACTTTAACTTCTCACATTGCAATCCCTTTCTCAGTTTGTCAATTGTATTATTTGAAACTTTGATGTTATCCTGCACTGCCACAGGTTCCTCTGGTGTTGCAGCATCAGTTGCTGCTGCTAATTCAGCTGATGGCACACTATCTTTTTTAGTCTCTTCAGAAAGTGGCAAATCTTTTTTTGTCCTGAAAGACTGCTTGAAAGAATCCAAAAAAGAAAAGTTGCTACTTTTCCGTTCATGCACTTTATCAGCTTCAGGTAAATTAAAACTTCCACTTGAGATGCTGTTGTCCTGCTTTACCGATGGAACTTTGTCACTACATTCAGTGTTCTGCTTAATAGACTCTTGTGATTGTGATCTTTTATCTGGATAATCCTTTTGGCAAGTTGGAGTTAGACATTCAGGAACAAATACTGGTGAAGAAGTCGAAAGAGAGTTGTGCTCACTAATTTTAGGAGTAATTTTGGTTTTTGGAGTGACTGCAATCTCTGATATAGCAGACCCTGTTGAAACCTCCTGGGTCAACTCTGGTAAATCATCAATTACAATTGATTCACTACTGAGTACAATTTCTTTAATTTTTGTAGGGCTTTCCACACCACTTCCATTTTTTATTTCCCGATCACTATCAGAATACTTATCTGGTGGTTTTTTAGGTTCATCATAATTTCCTAAGCGAAGTTTTTTAGCAGACTTCTCTCCAACATCACGGCTAGTTTTAGAATGGAGGTGAAGTTTGCCAGTAGATTTACGAGCGAATTGTTTACGTGGTAATTTGGCTGGAGCAGATGTAGCACTCATTATGTCCTCTAAAAAAAAAAAAATTTTTTTTTAAATAATTCAACTAGAGTATATAAAATGATGGCAAATATAGGATAATTAAATTCCAAATTAACAATGAGAGTATCAATGATGCAATAGCCCACTTGATGTTTTAATTTTTCCAGGTTTTTATTTTCGAAAAATTAAAAAGAAAAAAAAAATGAGCTCCAGAAAAACAGCTTTGTGTGGCAGGGTCCCACCCTCTGTCAGCTAGTTAGCTGGCATAGCTCAACTTAACCTAAAAGATAGCAAACAGAGAATTTTACATTGTCAAAATTATACAATACTAGCAAATACAAGTAATTGAAATATTTTTCTTGGTATATTTCCTAATTGAAAGACCATACAACAATTTCTAACTCAATTGCTACCTACCACTCAATGTGTACTATACAGTATTTACAAATTACTTTTACAGTGGCTGGTCTGGAGCTTGGAAAGTTTATATTATTAGCAGTGGGTTTGAATCATAGTCAGATTACCAGATTAATTTGCTGGTATCGTATAATATTTAAAATGCAGTATGATAGAAATCTGACCTATGAAGAACACTGTTTCATATGATAATCTGTCCTATGTTTATTACATGGGATGCCGAAAACATAGATTTCACAAATTTCCTCATCATTTTTTCAGCAAAAAAGTTCTATACTTTTAATTTCCTGAACTTTCTCCTATACTAAAATCATAGTCAAAAACCATGAAAAACGATACTACTGAAAGCAAATGTTTTGTCGCGAAAAGTGGGCTAAAATTCATTCAAACCGTAGTATGCAACTGTCAGGTAATTCAGGTGTATAATGAAATAAAATACCAAAAATATTTGATGCTATTCCAATGCTCATAATATGAAATGATGGTTGTTATAATTGGAACTAATTGAATGCTTGAATGATGTGATCATATGACAAGCGATTATGTGACAAGTGGATCTGTGTAAATACATCAGTTTCCCTGAAAAAGTTGCTGAGACAGTAACAAAAGCTTGGAAGTAAAGCTACATTTTATTTCAATTAATTCCAATTACAGCAACAGCCATTTGATGAAATAAAATACTTATAAATAAGTGACAGTAAGTCTAAAAAACGGCCAGTTTAAGAATCACTTACTTGGTTGTAACTTTATCAAGTAGTTTGGTTTTCTTCTGCAGGGTTGGCGAATTATCCACTTCCTAGAATGGAATCAAAGCTGATACTTAAAAATAATTTAATATTCCTGTTTAAATTATAAATTTTGAGGCATTCATCATGAAGGCTCATTTAAGTTAGGTTCACGCTAGAGCCCTAGTATCCGGATCAAGAGTAAACTGTTAGCACTGACGTTAGCACCCATGTGAGAACGCTTGATCTGTTAGCGCTAATAGTTACCAGATATGGATCCACTACCAGTTAGCAAGCGCTATTGGTTAGCAAGTTAAATGCATTTTTATCATTAAAAAAATAACTCAGAGTACACATATCCAATTTCCATTTTCCTATTGTCCAGTGATCCCCCATCATCTTCTTGATATCTGTATCAAGCATTTTCTTGTATGAACGCAAGGGTGAGCGCTTATGTTATTTATCTGGATCATGCTAACCGTTAGCTGCCGTGTGTGACCATAACCGCATTGGACGCGAGAAGTGGCTTTTTCATGCAATTTCCTGATCTTGTGGTTGGGATTTCCAACCACAGATTTTCTATTCACGCCCAGCCATGCTTGTATACACAAGCTTGTATTGTTGACGGGCCACAAAGTGGTTAACTTATGCTTAATATTAGGCCGTGTTTTCCATAGTACTAAATTGCAAAATGGCCATTTTGTTATTTTTCGCTGCTGAAACGGGTCCCAAAATATCCGATAAATTTTTGTATGAGGATCAGATAACTTATAGGAAGAAGCTCTGAATGCGAAAATAAATAACCCTTGGCTAGTCATAAAAAGAATTATTCTGGGTAGTAGGCTTTGGGGCCTATCCCTGGTATTTTCAACAATTGATAATAAAAAAGTGAGTAAATTTTCTGTGCTTATTTAGATATTAAAAAATTTGTAAAAGTCTGAAACAGCTGTGTTGTCATCAACGGTGCCTGGCTGGGCCTAGGTCTGTCCTTACCTATGATCGTTTATTGTACCGTAAAGCACATTAAACAAATCTAGCATTCTCTTTCGTCTTCTTTTCAATCCTTATACATATAGAAGTCAATACCAATCAGATGCCTAGAATCTATGTATGCGGTATATAATATAGAAATATGTTTCTCCTTCAGTTGTGAAGCCTTACAACTTAAGCAATCATAAACCAACCCTTCAGACATATTGATAACAACATCTGTGCACCACTTGACAGTTCAACATTGTCTAGGTGTTTCAATTTTCTCTCAATAATATCGTTATAATTAAGCATTCAATACTCTACTTTATTTTCTCATAATGTGCTAAAAACATACAATATTTTAATAACCGCCCCAGGGCATTTGTTGTTGAAAATGTTTTTTTTTTTTTTTTTTTTTGGGGATGGGAGGGTCTATTTTTTTAAGGGTGTTTAAAATTTAAGGAGGTATTTATTTATTCAGGGCATTTATTTGAGGCGCTTATTCCAAATGAGGCTCTGGAGGGGAAGGTTATTGGAGGGGGTCCATTTATTCAAAGCAGGCTAAGTATACAAACAAAATTGTGCACTTTACCTATCATTATCTTCAATAACAGAAGTTCGTCTGCTACGTTCAAATTTGTCAATAACTAATGAGCACTCTTTTAGATTCCACTTTGTTTTGCTTCTGGAACTGCTACGAGTAGTCTTACTTGTTTCTAAATCACTCTCTAGATTTTGTTTGTGTTTCTTCCAAGAATTTACTGGGCCTGCTTTCCCCGCCAATGATTCCCCTGTAAAATTAATATCACAAGTAAAATGTGTGTGAAGCTCTAAATACTATGTCAACAGCAAGGAATAAAGTATATTACATATTAGACAGTGAGGCTCATATTTTTTCGTTTACCATGTATTTTCCTTTTTCTAATTTCCTATACTCTTTACAATAGAGGAGGCAGCCTCATAATACATATTATACATCATCTAGTAGAATTTCATGAAAACAAAGATTTTTGCCTTTTTTTGTATTTTGTTCTAATATACTGTAGCGACGAAATACGTATAACAGAAGAAAACCGGAAAGTGAGATGCAACCAAATGCCACGCAGTGTTCTCCAGCAATTTAAGGCACAATGCCCACCAGGACAGTATTGACAGGTGCTTGAATGATTTTGGCATCTAGTCCTAGTCAATTCCTAATCACAAGGAAATAAAAAAGTTTTCAATATTTTCAAAAATATAATCTTTATGATATTAAGCATGAACTCACCCTCCGGCTGATGCGCTGGTCCTTGATTTCTTCGTCTGTAGAAAAAAATTAATTAGAATTAATCTTTTACACAGTAAAAGCACTATAGCCTCCCCACGATGACTCAAAACTCGCATTTTGTAACTCGCAACTCGCATTTTGTAACTCGCAACTTGCATTTTGTGACTCGCAACTCACATTTTGTGACTCGCAACTCGCAGAAAAGAAACCCTCGCTGAGGATAGTCAGCATGTGGTTTGAATTCATCACAAGTTCAATAGCAAGAATGGAAACTGCATGATCAAACTACCTTCAACTTTGACCTACCTAACTATTTAAATTCTCACAAGAGTAATTCCAGTAAAATTTGATATCAATTGGATAATGTATTAGCTACCCTAAAAAGATATTTAGAATGTCAGAAGGAATACACCTATGAAATTTGAATTAGGTTGAAATCTGACCTTTGACCACTACATGAACTTGAACTGAATTCTGTGATCACCTATTTATTGCATGTCATGCATCAGTGATTCTATTATTACCAACTCTGGTTGATCAAGCATGTCACACTAGTTACTAGCATTTGAAAGATACAACAGAAAATCTGACCTTTGATCACAAATTGACAAATAACACATTTCTATGAAAACCACATACTGTATGACTAATTAGTGGTTTCACTTTCCTTGAAACCTGCCTAAGATAAAATAATATTCTTCACCACTAAATGACACTTGACCAAATGACATACCACACCCCTCCCTTCCATGTTTGTAGAAATGTTTGAAATCAAAACATGTACTTGGGTCTTGAGCATGATTTCTTTAAAATCGCTACACAGTCGCTTCCGCTTTCAGTGCAATCCTTGTAACTACATAGTAAGCCCCTACACAATCGGGAAGGCTCCCCGATTTTACCAACCAATCAGCATCACCGAAAGCTGTCAGCGATAGCGAGTAGTGATTGTATGAAAACCGAGCTCAATAGCAATTTTGAAGGCTAACAAAACTGAAACATTATGTATGCAAATTTATGTACTAATGTACATATTAATGGCAAAAACAGCTACCAAATATAGTAAAAAAAAAAATAGCATTAAACTAATATTTCATTATCAGTTTAAATATGTGGAATATTTAAATTCAACCAAGAATCAAATCACTGATTCTGTATTTAAAGACATTACTGTAACATCCCCAATCACAGTATTCCTCTGTTTCAATTTGAATGGAGTAGGGGTTCGGGATTGCGCTAGGGTACAGGTGGATGGTGACCCCTCAGAAGATTTGTATTTTTATTTTGTGTTGCCTTTATTTATTTATTTTTTTAAATATTTTGTTTATCATTTTTATGATGTGAAGTGCACTGAAGCTTTTTCTTGCATTATGCGCTATACAAGTGTATCATTAATGAATACAAGAAATGCTCAAACATAGGTGGATTTACTTCAGGTGTTGATTTCTAACGTGTCATCGCAAATATTATTTTATTATTATTATTAATAATATCTGTATTCAGTGTGAGTATAATATATTTATGTTTACTGATTTCTGAATAAATACATGATCATTAATAATAGTAAAAACAAGTGATTCCCTTACACAACAATGATGAATTGGCTTACCAAACTAGTGATCTATCATTTGGAATAACGCCACAAATGAACAAGACGAGAGAATCATAATTATTACTATAGACAGAAGCATGCACTGCTGTAATTGGAATATATCTTGACTGACAATGATTGATTTCTTGCTTTAACAGAATTTTATGTGGATTTATTAGTTTCAATGTTTTATTTATTGGCTGATTAACATTTTACAGTATATTAATTTGGATTCGCAAAGTAAGTACACATGGAAGATTTTAAAATACAATTTTATGTGTTTTTCCCTGGTTTTTCTAGAGAGAAAAAAAATTAGAGTTCATAATTGAGAGGTTCGTGGTGTAAAATATCAGACAAGTGGTTGTTTACTCTTAACAATACAAAGTCTAACATGCAGTTATTCAAGATTGGTCAAATGTGCTGACCTTTGTCCCCTACACTATACCTTTTTAGAGTGATATTACAGTTTCATCAAATACAACAAAGGTATAGTAGTTTGCCTTGTGACAGCATTGCAACTTTATGTTACGGCTCATGCCTAGGTTGACTCAGTACATCTCAGATCTCGGCCATGGCAAGAAAATGTCCAGTGTCCACACTTACCTCGGTTAACTTAATTTAGGTATTAGAAATCCTTGAGCATAAACATTGTACTGCTAGCTGTGGTCACATTTTGGAATTCTAGGTCAACCCAGGGTCAACCTACAGTAGATACTTTACCTTGTCTGGTTTGAGCTCTCTGGGTTTTTAATCTAATCCAGGCTCACGGCCAACCCAGGTTGGTTCAGACTACAAGTTTCTCAACCGTACTGAGTCAACCGAGGCTTGCGGTTAGAATGTGTGACCGTAGCCTTAGTTCACTTTTTGGCATATCCTTGGCCCTAGTGCTTAAAGCTACATTAAATAAAAGGTAGTTTTCTTTTGCGATTTTCTTTTTATTTTTGTTTATTTCGAAGTTTTGAATACTAATGAAACCAACAACAATGAGTAAAAAAGGACAAAGGTAAAAACTAAGGTCGTCAATTTTAGCTGGTTACAAAATCCAGAATCTTTTATCAAAAAGCTGAGTGAGATTAGAATGTTTTAAGGAAATAGTACCATGATTATATCACTGTTATAGCACTGCAAATGTTTTGTATAAATAATTTTAATATAATCAAGAGCAGACCCAGGGGGTGGTGGGGAAGGGGATTAGGGCTCCAAAAAAAAAAAAGAATGAAGGAAAAAGAGCACAGTACTCTTAAACAAGCCAATTTTATTTACAGTAAATTCCATGAACCAGTGTCTATAGAATATTATTTTTTAATACGCCCACTGCTGCTTTGAAATATCCAAAAATAGCGTGCAATTCTTTCCTAATTATAATTTAAAGCATTTAACCATCCCATTACTACACTGTTTACAGTGACCAATAAAATTTTATTGTAATCTTCTCCTCCACCTGAATGTTTTCGCAAAACTATTTGCTAAAAAAAAACACGAAATTTTACTTTTATTTTTTTTCGCGAAAAATAGTATTAAAAAAAAGTCTTGATCACCTTATATGTCGGGTGACTGTGTGAAAACACCATGAGCAATAATGAGTTTAAAATTAATATGAATAATATATTATAATACTTCAATAAGTGTCACTTCCATCCTGTGAGTTCCAAGTCACTCAATAGATAAGATTAACGAATAATAAAATATACATATTGCGCAAAATTAATTAAAGTCCAATATTGAGTTAGCATACCCAGCTTACTTGAAGCCTATAATTTTAATATTAAATTAATTATTTTTGCACAAGCCAACATCAAGTGCTATCATAAATTTCATGAGTCAGAGGATATAATACAAAAATCAAATCATATACACTACCTGTATAAAAAATTGCAAAATATGTCAGTCAATACCAACAAATTGATTTCATGCATCGTAGTGTCTGTATTAAGATTGGTTTCCATAAAATCGCTACACTGTCGCTACAGAGTTTTCAGTGCAGTTATTGTACTGCGTAGCAGTCCCTGACGCATTCAAGAAGGCTCCCCGATCGATTGACCAATCAGCATCACCAAAAGCTGTCAGCGATAGCGTGTAGCGATTGTATGGAACTAAGCTCAAGGGTCATTAAAACTCCATCAATAGTATTATGGACTTTCCTTTCTCATTTTATGTTATAAATTTATAATAATATTATTTGTTTTTAAATAATTAATGTATAGATGAAATTGAATTGATAGGCTTAAAGTTTGGTGTTTATAATGAGTGGTTTTTTTGATGTTTTATATATATTTTCATTTGTTCAAATTGTAAACTATTTCAACCTTACACTTTGAGTATTTTATACCAAATAAAATAAATAAATAAATAAAAATTTGTACTGAGTATTTCTTTGTCAACTGACCTTGTAAGGTCTGTGGTCAAGGTCTGTGGTGATTTTTTGTTTCTTCCGAAATGAAAGTCTGATTGATTGATAAGACTTACCTTACCTTATCATAAGTTACACACAACACAACACAACACTGATAAAACTCACTTTATCATAGTAAAAGTGACAAGACTTACTTTTATCATATAGTAGGTTAAACACAATAAAAGTGATAAGACTTGCCATATCATAGAGTTGAACAGAAAAAAGTGATAAGACTTACCTTATCATAGAGTTAAACAGAAAAAAGTGATAAGACTTACTTTTATCATATAGTAGGTTAAACACAATAAAAGTGATAAGACTTGCCATATCATAGAGTTAAACAGAAAAATAGTGATAAGACTTACTTTTATCATATAGTAGGTTAAACACAATAAAAGTGATAAAACTTACCTTATCATAGGTTTTTGTCTGTGCCTGGCACCTGAAAGACAAAAAAATAAATTATAAAACAATATTAAAACTAAGGGTTGTTCAACATTATCAGTATTTTCACAAGTGTACAAACAAATACACTACCGGGTAGAGAAATTTATAAACTTTTACATATGCATAAAAATGTAATAATGTAACCATGGATATAATATTCATTTTTAAGCAACCAAGTACATTGCTTTAGTTGACTTCACAAAAAATGGAGAATGGTTTTGCAAAATCGAAATTTTTTTCTACACTTGCAAAAGGGAAGGAGGAGGGGGTACCGAAAAAAAAGTACTGTTTGTACACTTGTGAAAATGTTGATTTGTGAACAACCCTGAAGGGACCATCCATAATTATAAACAAAGAATACACAACTATGCTTTGGGGGGAGGGGAGGGGGTTGAAAGTTTAGGCATAAGAAAAAAGATAAAATGTTGCTCTCAAAAATGACACAAATTAACATTTTATTGTGTATTATTTCGGGAGAGAGGGGTCAGAGAAAAAAGGATGTTTTGGAATCTTTTGAAAATGCTGAAAATTATGGATGACCTCTAAATAAAATGTAGTCCACTTGGCTGAGTTGCAGTCAATTGTGTCCATCCAAGCGTAAATTCTTATTTGGTAGCTTTTGTATATCCAACCGTAACCACATACCTTTACAATTTCAAACCTACACTTTGCCTATTGTTATTGTTTATAGACTATTCCCAGCCTCATCCCTTACCAACAGTACTGTACATTCATTAAAAGTTACATGCAAAAATAAATCATGAAACCTAATATAAAAAAAAAAATTGTAAACAAAGTCCATGGATTCATCATCTGTAGGACTTCCCCTATAAAACACTGTAAAATTAAAATTCAATACTTCATACAAGATAGAAATCATTACATGTACATGGCTACTTATAATAATATTGTAAAAAAAGTCCATGGAATGATTAAACAGGTTTGGCTCAGTGGTTTCCATTCTGGTTATTAAACTTGTGGTCAGGAGTTCAACCCCCATGCTGATCAATCTCAGTGTAGATGCAAGAATTTCATGGTAAGTAACCCCTTACCTAGAAGTGGCTTTCAAGAATTGTTTTAGGTTATTACAGTTTAAAAAAAAGAAAAGAAAAAGACTTTATACAAAATAGAGATCATACCTGTACATGTCTTATACTAATATTGTGAACAAAGTCATGATGGAATGATAATGCCAAATCATTTCTACAGTAGGGTATTCCCCTTGCACTTGGCAGCCTAAATGTATACAGTACAATACTTTTATTAAATTGTTAATTAATCTCATGTACTGTACAGTATGGATGTTATTTTTGGGAAGGCCTTTACTTTTAGAAAGTGCTATTTGGTCTCTTCCTGGTGTACGGCAGTTGGTCTTTTCTTTTTTGTCTATTTTTTCAATGTTTGTTTTTTAATGTAATGTTTTGAAATGTTATTGAACTTGTATGCCCGAAACATTAAAAAAATTTTAAAAAATAATTATCAAAACACCTGATTACAATACTGATGGAATCATGATATCCCATGCCATGTCACAGGCAGTAAAACAAAACAAAGGATCTTCAAATTGTTTTAAAATTGGTGAGAAGATAAATGAAGGTTAATGTATACCTACTACATTTCTTTTGGTGAAATAGAAAATAAACCACTTATATTTAAAGCAGATAACAGATAGAAGCTTTGCACACAATGGTGACGTGCTCACCCTACCAACAGAAAGGTAACCTACACCAATGTGTAATGCTCATCCTACTGTTAATGGTACTGACACTAAAGTGTCATGTTCATGACACTTTAGTATGAACATGACACTTTTTCATGAACATGACACTTTTTCATGAACATGACGATACTAAAGTGTCGTGTTCATGAACATTAAATAGTATGGTACCAGACCTAACCTACACTAATGTGTCATGCTCATCCAACCATTAATTTCACTGAATACCATAGTGTCATGCTCACTATTCTACAATTAATGTCACAGACAGGGAATTTACACCAAGGTTTCATGCTCATTCTACCATTAATAGTACCAACCGGTACCTGATGTGACACCAAGGTGTCATGTTCATAAACATTACCGTAACAGAACCATGACAAGAAAGGTTCCCTACATTAAATTGTCATGCTCATCGTACCATTAATGTCACAGACAGGGATCTCATACACCAAGGTGTCATTCTCATCCTAATATTAATGGCACCAACACAAACAAATACTTTATACCAAGGTGTCATTTTCATAAATATTTCGGTAACAGAATCATGACAATAATGCTTCCTACACCAAGGTGTCAAGCTCAACCTACCATTAATGGTACCAACGGACAGGCACAGTGCTGCGATGGCACCATGGCAAGAAAGTCTTTTATTACATCAAAGTGTCATGCACATTCTACCCTTAATTTCACCAAATACCACGGTGCCATGCTCATTTTACAATTAATGTCAAAGTCAGGGACAGTATACACCAAGGTGTCATAATCCTACCATTAATGGTAATGACAAACAGGGACCTTACAAAAAATGTTACAGCATGTATTAGGAAGCATTCAATTGTACGACGACTAAGAAGACATCTGCACATGTATGCGAAAGTGTCGAATTCTCATTTTCGTCTAGATTCTCTGATTCAATTTGTTCTGAATCTACTCTGTGTAGAAAACGTAGGACTGTAGAGGATGAACTAGGTTGCCGCACAAATCAAAAGCTCTCATGACAAGACAAACCAAGATCGCATAAAGTTCTTATTTTTTAAGCTTCATATTCTGTAGAAATATTTTAACCTGCCAATTTTGATATTGTTTTCTTGTATAATTTATTATGTTGTTCAAACTATCTAAAGATTATTTAATATCAATTACTAATTACAAACTGTAAATATTTAACTTAATTAAAAATAGTTTAGTATCAACTAAGAATCAATTTTTTTTTTCTGATAAAATTTATCAAAATATAATCCACAAAATTTGGAAAATCAATACACTTCCTGTTGGCAGACATCACTTTGCCCCAACAAGGGCATAACTCTGGAACAACGACACCCCCCCACCCCCATGGTTTGTACCAATGCCTCTAGACTTGTTCAACCCTTCTCTGGCAGACTCTGGAGCTACCACTGATTAAAAACAATGAATTTTAAACCATGTAGACAACATATTTTTAAATACCTGCATAATTAAAGATTCATGTTAAAAAATCATTTTCTGATAATAGTTATTAAAATTTGACAATTAAAAAACATGAAACAGATATTATTTATAAACTGCTAAACATTTAATATTTAAAAATATAACATGCCTGTGTCAACATCCACAATAGTTAATAAATAACAAGAAAAACATCATACTCATAATACTAAGCATACATATTTACAAATGAAACTATAAAGTGATGCATAATTACATACAATTAAAATAATGCCAAAACTAAACAAAAATAATGAAAGTCTATAAAAAAAATTAGCATATTACAATTAATACACTTGGTGAGTACTAATCTTCTAAAATACTATAAAGCACAAAAAAAATACAACCAAAATCTATGACAAAAAATTTTTACAGAGTAATACATACTATAAAACTGTACTGCAAAAGCAGTTTCAAGAAGGATTGAATCTAATATAGCTCGCAAAAAAAAACCAGATGATTGGAAAACACGGAAATCACATGTTTGCTACACAGCAGTGTGCACATCGAATGGATATCAAATTAGGCATTTGATCATTTCAAGAGTGAAACATCACCAGCAAATGGCTATAGCCACATTTCAAATCCAGTTCAAACCAGTTCTAACCAGTATTGCAAGTGCATTCCAAATGAAAGTCAATAAATAACACTTGGCATTCAGCCAATATCACCTCAAATGGAGGTATTCAAAAGCATTAGACAATGGCAATTATTAATGAGATGCACTTGGATCTGTGGCTATTAATAGAATGAGAAATGAACATAACCTACAGGTATTTTCTTAATCCAAATTAATTTAATCTTTCTAACCAGATTTTGATGCATTATTCTTTTTGATGCGATGCAAATATGGATTTAGTTACACACAGAATAATTAACCATCAGTATGTGCTAATTACATTTGCCATTTAATGTGTATTGATTGAAAATAAACAAAAAGCCCAACTGGGAATATAAAAATGAATTGCAGTATATGTTCATGTTGAAATCATTGGCTCATTGCCAGCTTTAACATAATCACAGACAGAAACCATTAAAGAGAAGCCTAATACACTAACCTAGTTACACACAAAACAGCAGAGAAAACTCTCAAGGTCAGAATTTCCAGATGGCCTAATTATTCTGTTAACAATAACATTGAAGATTAGAAAAGCATACTGTAAGGTTTGATGCTTACATTATTGTTTGTAAATAATATGTTTCGATTTAATGCGTTCCTAAATAATGAGTATACACCATCACACAAATCACTTCCTGTTATAATATAGATGCTCTGTAAATAAACTTGCCTGTTCCTTGACCTGTTAATTGGGTCAAGTGATTGCACATGAGGTACCGAGATGACCCTGGGGTCACTCTTTGAAAATTTAATTGTGGGTTGCTATCATACCTCCATGCTTAACTTACTCTTTACCAACTGAAAATTCACAAATCTTACACAATCTTAACACAGCAAAGGATGATGTTCTAAAGACTGTACTTGAAATACAAAAAAAAATGTGCTATAGATAAACAAATCACAAAGATTCTTGTAGTACAGTATTGGGATTGCTAACATTTAAATATATATAAAGGGTTACTCTACTAAATAATCGATTTCTGGTAGTAATTGAACACTACAGTTAGTTTTAAATATTTTATTTCCTTGTTGTGTTCTTGAAATTTAAAAAAATGCAAAAATATGTGGCACAGAGGAAAGTGGGAGGCCCCTCAGAGTTTTGTGGATTTTGATAGTCTAGCAAAGCTTCAACTGGTAGGTAGATCAAACACAACCATGCGCTGGTTATAGCTGCAACATTATGGGGCATGAGTGTTGTTCCATGTGCTTGATCCAGTGACCGGGGGTAATAATGTAAAGCGCATAGAGGTTAGTCTACAATATGCGCTATATAAGTTGACAATTATTATTATTATTATAACAGATAGTGTGATGCTCAAGGAGAGGAGCTATAGCCCCCAGCCCCCCCCCCTCTGGCGCCACCACTGCCTAGTGAGCAGTTAATAAATATAGGCTTAATTGCACATTAGGTAAGTGGGTGCCTCCTTGAAGTGGGAGGCCTTGGCCCAGCACTAATGTGCCAGGAAAATCATTATTAATTATCACGAATAATTAATTATTACTACTAATGTTATTTTTAAGACAGAGACAAAAGAATGCTGAATGATTCATTACTTATTTTTGCCTAAATCAAATCAAGGAGTAAAAAGCTTTTACAACTAGTCTACTGTACTCATAATTGCAGCTAATCCTTAATCCAGGATTATATCCACCAGGATTATCCACCAAATACAAAAGCCTGGTTGACATTACTGTACATCTAGCTATCTAAAATAATAGTGTTGAAATATAATAAGCTGGTCAATTCATACCTTCGCACCTACAGTATGTTGGGTCTTGATTAAGGTTGGCAGTGGCATGTGACTAAAACCTAGACTAGATCATGACTGCTTTACTTTTGAACTTTAATACATACTTGTCTCCTTTGGATTCTTAAAACTAACCTATTCTGAACTTTTCAGGAACATGACAAAAATAGTGAACTATAGTAGAATTACCTCAGAAAAAGAAAACATTTGGATATTAGATCGGTTGGTAACCGGTTATCATTATTATAGTATTACACTATCCAATTTAATATGTAAACCAGGCAACAGTGCAACAATGATAACAGTTATTCTATCCCATGATACTAATCCTGTAACTAAACACTTCCTGTACATTGGATTAAACCTTGGGGATTAAATTCTACAGGGAATTCCTTGGAAATTAATTTAATATACTTGTAGTAGTTATCCCTCCAATGAGGATTAAATCAAATCCTGTAATTAGGATTTAAACTACAGACTTCATATAAACCATTAATTTAAAATAATCAATCACAAACTTAACTGTTATATGCTAAAACACCAAACCTTACCAACCATTCAGAGACCTGAATGCTTGTATGATATTAAAAAAAAAAAAAAAAAAAAAAAAAAAAAAAAAAAAAAAAAAATTTGAAAAAAACCCAAAAAAAAAACAATTTTGATACAAGCTTTTTATACATTAACCGTGGGCTTTAACCTGGTTAACATGTTACAAAGCATAATATAAAGTTAAATAGGTACCCATAATTATTTTTTTGACTGGAGAAACCAAGTAGAAAAATATCATACAAAATTAAGAGTTAAGTGGTGGTTGGATGATTCTGTAGAATTAGGCCAACGGCTAGCGAAAAAACATAACAATTCGGTAACAACAACAACATTAGTAACAACAATAAAACTTTATGGTACAGTAAATTACTGTACCACTATGACACCACAGGGTAAATCCAAAGCTTCTGAGTGCTAAAAAAATTATGCAAATTAGTAAATTACCATAAAACAGGTTAAGATTAAACTGAAATAAATACTACACTAAAGGTAATAAATTACTTCTGACTCACAATCCAGGATGATTCTAAAATAAATAAGACAGCATGGCAGCTTACCAGTATTCAAGCCCATGTCACTTGTCTGATAATATCATGTGTTATCATTGACACCCTTCAGAGGTCAGACAAAGCATTCTGTGTTGTAAACTGGTTTAAACCAGTTCCCATCTTTTCTAGTGGGTAGCATTCAAGAAGTCTCCTTAATGCTCTGAATTCAATAGTTTTTGTTGTTTTGATTCATCTATGTACAGTAGATGACATAATCATTGAAATTTTAAAATATTTATTCGCTCTCTCATTCATAATCAATATACTGTATACATGTTCACCAAGTAATAACACAGAACCCTGAATAATCTCTCCAACTGTATTAGCCATAGTTGATAAAGCCAACTTGTGTTTGCTATATCAAAAATTAAAAACATGTCTACTGTATATCCTTTGCAAGTTGAAAATCTGTTTCATGCTGATTAGAGTGAAACAGGAAACTTGCCAACATAAAGACTAATGCTTGGAGTCCCAAAATTGCAGTATATTTGTAACAGCAATCTGACTCAATTTCGATTACAGTAGGCCTACACATTTTACTGTATGTCTATTCTCCAGCAATAATTCTTAATTTACAAACAATGAACTCAAATTACATTAATCACCTAAGAAATAATATTTAATTTGTTTAAAATCAAACAGCATCATTAATATTTACAAAATAACAGGATCTATTAAAGCAATAGTAATTTAGATTTGAAAATATCACGCCTGTGACCTGGTTTTTTGGAAGTGCGCCACTAGTATTGGTTTCTAAAATTAATATCCCTAATATCACCTCTACATAGGAATTGTATCTTGTGAAAAATAAATACAATTGGGTGTATCATTTGTTCATGCTTGAAAAGAGCATGGATGTATGGATGATTCAGTGTAAACACCAAGGATAACCCACGAAAGTCTGAAGAAGACTTATTAAATTCCAGTGTGGTTCTTCTTGCGGTTATTAAGTAGTACACCGGCAGACAATCCACTACTCTTTTCCTAAAGTGCTTTCTTTAAACATGTACATTTCAGCCCTCCAGCTGAAATACAAGGGGAGCAGCAATGGGAATTGAACCAGGGACCTAGAGATCTCCACGGTTCAGCGCACACACAGTGGCTACCACCAGTTTAGCCGACTGAGCTAACCTGATCTCAACTAAGCTCTTTTCCATTTCCATGCACTTGATTACAGACACAAGGCACAATTGCCAAGTTTTTTTGGCAAAAAGCAAATTTATTATGTTTTTGCCTTCACAAGACATATACACATACAAGATTTTCCATTATGAGGCTTGTAATCATATAATAGTTTCATTTCATGAATTTACCAATTTATCAATCAGAACAGTGACAAGAATAGGCGCGTGTCATACAACCACACGTGTTGTCTCACAAACGCACGTGTGAGCATTATGCTTTTACACTGTAGATTTGTGGGACCTTGGCAAAAATATCAGAGGAAAGGGAAGGAGAAAGGACCATGAAGGCAAGCATCTTAGCTACCAAGATTATTCAACTCCATCTTATTTTCACCAACGGATATTTAAGTAAACACAGTATGAACAAAGGAAACTTTTTTATCATTCCTAAATGATATCGTTATGGCAGAGAAGTTTCCATAGACATACTACAGTATCTGTATGCTAATGAATAGCCTGAAAATGTAGAGAAAGAAAGAAACACAAGATACTGTAGCCATGTGAAATTGAACAAAGAATGAAACGTTAATGACTACGGTAGTCCTACATGGTAACCATTATCACAACACACTGGTAATGTTATCAATTGTCAATAGGCTATCTACCGTAGCTCATTTGAATTTGTGTTGGCCCAGTGCCAAGTATTAAATGATTCAAATGCAACATAAGTAAACAAGACAACACGCAACAGGTGAGTATGGATACGCAGCAATTTTATTCACTACAAATTTTACTAATAATACACAGCTGTTATTAGTTGGTATTAAAATTTAAAATATGTACCATGAGAAGTGAAGACTGACTTCAACTATGCATATTGTACATCTTAAATGGAAGGTAAAGTGTGTTGTGCAAGTCTTAATTAATATTTATTAATTTTAGAAGAA